CGCTATGAGTCAGGGCTGACTCGACGGCACATAACAACAACAACAAATACACACACACACACACACACATATAGTTCCAATAGGGAACTTCAACCAGTGGGAATGGCCCAGATCTCTCTGGCCAGCAGTCAGAACGGCCATGGGATAGAGCCTTCACCACTTCCAGAGTCTCTTCCTCACTCCACTCCATCCCTTGTGTGGCCACAAGAGTCAGAGGAGAGAATGAAACCCCAAGGAAGTACTACTCCTGGGGTCCATGGAGGCTAAGCCTGGTCCCATGGCCCAAGCTAAGGACAGAGGCTGGGACAGACATTTTGACAGGTCTTACTCAAGAAACCCTACAAGTGCAGGGTAAACAGTCTGCAGCTAATGAAGATAAGAGGTCTTTGAAAGCTAAGGAGTCCTCGTTCAGGAAGGCTTGACATTTTATCTCTTGAGTACGTCACTGAGGAGTAAAAATAGGGACACTACAAATACCAAAAGAAGAGCAATGTTCCGTCCATTTGTTTATTCCAACAAATCCCAATCCAGTCCCTATCTCCCCACAGAGTCCTTGCAGTAGGGAAGTCCAGAGTGCATTTACTGGTTGAGCTTGTTGTTCTGGGTAAGGATCTGTTGAGGCAGCCACTGTAGGCTGTCCATTTCTCAGGACAAATTGTGCCTCTTCCTTGAAGTCTATGAACAATGAGTGTTCCCTGGGATGCAGGGGAGTCCATATGAGCCACTGGTCACAGAAGCATAGCACCAGTGGGTCAACATCACTTCAACCATGATATACTCTGTGGTATAAAGGGCTGTGGCCCTGCCTGTCTCCATACTGCAGTTAGTGTTTGGGGGTTGTATTCAGTGAATCAGGGGTGATATTAAATATATTGAGCTACTAAATCAGCACAGGCACCAGACAGTCAAAAAATATCCCCTGGTCATAACAAACAGTCCAGCCATCCTGGTACATCCCAGCTATGTTTCATCCTTGCCCTACCTCAAAACTTCTGATAGATTGTTCTTTAGCAACAAAGTGGCAGGCTGTACTGTGATAGTGCACTTGAGCAGGTCCTGGGATTTTGAGTGCAGCAGACCTGGATTGGGATCATGCTGTAGACTGGTGCTACTTAACCTGTCTGAGCTTTGGTTCCTGCATCTATAAACTGGAAGTCATAATCCCAATCTCATCAGATTGTGGGAAATAAGTGAAATATATGTAAAACACATACTCATTTCTTTACCCATCACTCTCCAAGGTTACTAGAATATGCCCCATCCTCCTCAACCCCTTTAATTTCCTTAAATCTCTTGTGTTACCTGTCTATTATACTCCTCTGGCTCATTTCTGTTCAATTTTTTGCTGACTACGGATTATTTTCCCTTGTCCCCTATTCATTACCCCTATTCATGCAGATACATGGTGATGAGCATCTCCTTTCCACCTCAACAACCCTTTCAGACTTTCCTCTTCTCCTCAAACCCCCACATCCACTTACCATCTTCTTCCCTTGTAGTTGTAAACAGGTGGTATGTGCTTTGAGTGGGGGCCATGAGAAGGAGACCAAACTTTACCTTGAAGATCTCCAGGCTGGCTTACAGATTGACCTAGTCCCTACCAGTGTCCAGGGTAATACAGGACTGCACAAAAAGAATCCCTTCCCCTTCCCTGCCTCCCTCACCCCATTCCAATCATAATACTTCCAGAATGCTGCACAGCATGAGCAGGCACTACCTGCACCCACACTCTGCCACACTCATCCCTTCATAGTGGTACTTCAGGGTGGGGACACCCATGTCGTCCTTGTAGAGGATAGAGATAGGGCTCAATTTGGTAGGTACACAGCAGGCCTTACCAACCTTCATGGGGAATTTGAGATGCACCAAAGTCTGCACAATGGCGTGCTTTGTTGGAGTTACATCGTCAGCAAGGGGGAAGAAGCAGCCACCTTTACACTCATATGCATCATACTCCTTGGGTGCGATGATCCAGCTGTCCCAGCCAATGTCCTCAAAGTTCACCCGCAACGAGGTCTTCTGACAGTGATTGTTGGCCCCGGTACTCCTTTTCCTTCTGGCTAAAGAAGATCCTGTGGCCACGTGGCTATCCATTTCCTTCTCCTCATCCTTGTCCTCGCCTCCTTCCACCTGGCTGTTCTTGGACAACTTCTTAAGCATGGTATCCTGTTCATGACCAATCATCTCCCTGAGTTCCAGCCTGGTCTCCTTGGTCCCGTTGCTGCGGTCATTTGAGAAGACAACAAAGAAGGGCAGATTTTTGGGACCTGGGGGCACACTGATGTCCAGCTTATCACAGCCCTTCCTGTGACTCTCCACTATCACTTCCAGTTTATTTTTGCTTTTGGTGGAGTCTGCCCTGACCCACCGCTTCACTGCACCGGAGACCTCAAAGGTCTCCCAGCCCTCATTCCGAATGTCCTGGGACACCAGGAATGTCTTGGTCCCTGCAGAGCAATCCCAGGAATCTGTTCCATCAAGAACATCATAAATGACCATGCTTCCTTTCAGCCCATGAGAACCATCCTTGTGATTTTGACAGGAGATGTATAGTCGGAGCTCAGCCCTGGTGATCATCTCATGCCTGGGGATGGAGATGTTGAAGAGTAAAATGTGCTTTTGAAAAGGGAAATCTTCTGTGGTGGTTACAGAGACAGCATCTGAAATGTAAATACATGGTGATGAGCATCTCCTGAGAGGGTCCATTGTCAGGACACCAAAGCTGAAATTCATGGTTTGCATGAATAGGAGTTCAGCATCATAAATTTTTATCTCTATTAAATTTCTATTTGGTTTCACTTATGCCCTTAAGTTAAAAGAGTATTTTCAAAGACACACAGAGAGTCTTCCAAAGAAAAATGACAGTGTGAAATACTTCAAATTGGAGTTGACAGTTCCTGTGTTTATTTAACATCTACTAGGTGCCAAGAATTGCACTTGGAGCTTTGCATAATACATTTCATTTTAATGCCCACACCAGCCTTGGGAAGATCTAAATTACTCCAATTTTATAGATGGAGAGATTGGAATTTAAAGCATTTAACTGAGAAAGTGCAAATGTCTAGTAATTATCCTCAGTTAAACAAACAAAAAGAAAACAGAGAGAAGATACTGAATGCATGATTTTAAAGAAGAGATTCTGGGAGGGAACTTGAAATTCTAACATTAGGACCAAGTTAAATATTTCAGCATCTAAAATAGTTTAGAAATCATCCAGAATAATATCTTCCAAGCAAAGTGGCCAAGTACAAAGTGCTGCAAGTACATGATGTTTTTCAGTGTTTTGAGGGGGGAAAAAAAATACATGGACCTCAATTGCATTATCATTTCAGGCAAAAATAGAGCTTCCCTTTAGCCTCACATTGTCTCCATCCTCCACTTCTCTTGGAGTGACACATAGCCATAAGCACCTCTTATGGAGAAGTTACATTTTCCAGGCACCTGCTATGTGCCAGCATGAGTGGGAGACTGTGAGCTGTCGTGAAAACCTGGTATGATTTGGCATGACTCTGTCCTTTACAAGACTTGTGACCTCAGAAAAGTCTTAAATCTAAGTCTCAGTTTACCCATCTGTAAAACGGGTTCATTCTACCTGCCTTACAGGTAATAAGTATATGAAGTTAAGTAAGTGATTAGTGTGAAGCTCCATCAAGACATCATATGAGACTTACCCAACACTCTGTCTGGCTCATGGCTGAGATCAGTAGGTAATTCTATCTCCTCCCTCACCTTCTTTCTAGGCTGGTATGCACCTCTCCCTCTTCCCAAAGCATGTCGCCTTTCACTTAGTTAATGCACTGTTTGAGTTCAATGTACTGAGATGTTGGATATTTGAATCGATTAGTCCCAATGGGGTCTATGAACACTACATTAATGACCTGAAATATCTTTGCAGTAGCAAGCCCTTAAAAATAGCTTTGAGATGGTGGTTGAACACTTTGGAAACAAGCACCTCCTTTCCTCAGTGGCACCCTGACATCTGTGGAAGAAAGCTGAATATGCTCCCACTAGAGTACTGGCCTAGGAACTCTGGTAGCATAGTGCCTAAGGTAATTGACTGTTAACCAGAAGGCTGATGGTTCAAATCCATCAGTCAGTCCTCAGAAGGAAGGTTGGGCAATCTACATCCGTAATGATACCACCTCAGAAACCCAAGGAGGGGTCACTATGAGTCGGGGCCAAATCGAGGGCACATAACAACAACGACAACAATGGAGTACTGGCCTAAGGAGTTCTGGTGGTATAGTGGTTAATGTATTTGGCTGCTAAGCAAAATGTTGGTAGTTCAAATCCACCAGCTACTCTTCAGAAGAAAGATGGGACAGTCAGTTTCTGTAAAGATTTACAGCCTTGGAAACCCAATGGGAGTTGATATGCATCAGAATCAACTCAATGACAGTGAGTTTGGAGTTTTGGAGCATGCTGGCCTAGAGGGTGCTGGGGTCTGATCCTATGCATCTCAGACTTGCACATGTGAGCTCTTACCACTAGGTGGCTCCAAAAGGCTGCACTCACAGAATTATGGGATTTGGAGATTCAAGTCCAGCCAAAGAAGCCCAGATTTCCCCTAAAGCAGAGGTCACAGATATGTCTCCTGTTCTGGCATCATCTGGGGGACCAGTAGATTTTTCTTCTAAACAATTAGAAAACCTGGCCCCACCAGGACTGCATTGTGACCTCAGCATCCTTTAGAAGGAGCATACACCGTGGGAGTTGAATACTAATTAAGTTAAAATTTACTAAGTGCTGCCATGGAGCGGGAACTCTGGTGGCATAGTGCCTCAGGCATTTGACTGCTAACCAGAAGGCTGGTGGTTCAAACCCACCAGCCACTACTCAGAAGGAAGATTGGGCAATCTGCTTCCATAGAGATACCACCTTGGAAACCCAAGGTGTGGTCACTATGAGTTGGGATCAACTTGATGGCAATGAGTTTTTAAGTACAGTACTGCAATGACATTCAGGTCCCAAGCTCCTGACTGCTCATAGGGAGACTCAGCAGAAAGGAAAGCCCTTGCTGTGCAGACAGATAGGCCCAGGTCAGAATCCAGCCATTTAACTAGTATGTGACCTTGGGCAAGTTCTTCCAGCATTTGCAAGCCTTGGAACCCTCCTTCTGAAAATCATTTCACTCTACCTTTGTGAGGTTGATGTGAGGTAATGAATATAAGCCTTGTGTATTTGTCATTTTCTAGTTCCTCTAAAATCAGGAAAATTATTTTAAAAATACTTAAGTTCTCCAATGTTTTTCTCTGAAAGGTTTTTATTGAATTTCAAAACCTTTTAATAAGAGAGAAATAGAGATTCTTTCAAAGTCTAAAGATATATCAGTTAGCTGAAGGCTAAACAAAGTTCTACTTCTAAGTAGGTTTGGGACAAGAAGGGAAGGGGAAGGAAGAGAGAGAAAGGGAAGGGGAGAGTGAAGAAAGGGTTTCTATTGAAGAGTTAGGGAGAAAAGACAGTAGAAGAAAAAGGAGGAGAGGGGAAGGGGAGGAAAGAGGAGGGAAGGGACCAAAGAAAGTGAGGCAGAATTCCCTGAGGACAATATTCTAGAGCAACACCATGCAATAGAATTCCAAGCAGAGATGGCAATATTCTATAATCTATACTGTCCTACATGATAGCCACAAGCCAAACATGACCATTAAACCCTGTAAAACTGTAGCTAGTGCAACAAAGGAATAAAATTTTTAATTTTATTTAACTAGCTCTGGTAGCATAGTGCCTAAGGCACTTGACTCTAACCAGGAGGCTGGCGGTTCAAACCCACCAGCCACTCCTCGGAAGGAAGGTTGGGCAATCCTACTTCCATAGTGATAATTGCCTCGGAAACCCAAGGAGGGGTCGCTATGAGTTGGGCCGAATCGCCGGCAAATAACAACTAACAACAATTAACTAACTTAAATTTGAATTTAAATAGCCTCATGTGGCTAGTGGCCACCATATTGGATAGTGCTACTTGCCCAGCCACTTCTCGGAAGGAAGATGGGGCAATCTATTTCTGCAGTGATATTGCCTTGGAAACCCAAGGAGGGGTCGCTATGAGTTGGGTCTGATTTGAGGGCACATCACAACAACATAGCAACACCTTGGTTCCATGAGTTTCCACCCCCCCACCCAGGATGCCCCAGGGAAAACCAACATACCTTCCACACTGAAGCTCCGCACGATGTTTGAGGCTGGTGTGGACGACTTGTCAGTGATGTACCTATTGTATAGGTCGATCATGTACTGGGGTGGCTCTGCTCTGGTTTTGTTTTGGGAAGGAACGCCACTCAGGTTGAGGCTACGAAGGAAATCCACCTTCATGTTCTCCAGAAACATCTTCAGGTTGAAGGGGCCCTCATCCTGGTTCCCTTGGGGCTCCCCTAGCAAGCTGTGGGCATTACCTGCCACTGACGCATGCCCCCAGTTCTCCAGTGGTTTTGCTTGCAGGGAGCAAGCCAGGAGGGAGAGCAGGAGCAAGGCCACCCACAGAGCCCCAGGGCACATCTTGAGAAGGTGCTCTCTCCAGGTTAGTGACTGGGGGCTCCGGTCCAGTGGTGGGTTAGTGGGCACAGAGAAAAGCCTGAGGGGAGCAGCCCTGCATCGTCCCACTGCTGCAGTGCTCTGGAGGCAGCTGGACCTGGTGAGTCCCAGGCTCTTGCAATCTTCAGCCCCGATGTCCTCCACTTTTACTTATCTGGTCCTAATGCCACCCTCGACCCCTTATCTAACACAGCTCTCTGTTAATGAAGGCTCTATAAACATCTGACAAACAGAGAGGCTGGTGGGAAGAACAGTGCACACTCAAGCATCCACATTCTCTGTGGGGTCATTGCTCCCCAATTAGGATTTATGCTCATTTCCTTGCCAGCTCAGTTCACAAGAATCTTTTTTTTTTTTTTCCACATTATTCATAAGTTTTATTTATTTATTTATTTATTTTTTAGACTTTTGATTGTGATTTGGGTGAAAGTTTATAGAGCAAATCAGTTTTCCATTCAACAATTCATAACACATTTTGATTTGTGATGTTGATTGCAATCCCCACAAAGTAGCAGCATTCTTCCCACTTCCTCCCTGTCTTTACTGTTTCCATTTGTCCTTCTTTTCTATGCTTTCCTATCTTCTGAACTTTGTTGTGGTTGTTGTTATGTGCCCTTGAGTCAGACCCGACCCTGGGTAAATGCTACTGTTTGGATTTCATATGATTGGTTGCACTAAGGAGCACTTATCTTCCTGGCATTATTGCTCACCTTACAGGACTATTGTTTGGCTGAAATTTGAGCCTTGGGGGTGAGTTTCATTTTAGGCTTGAAGGATGTTTAAGGGCCATAGTCTTGGGGGTTCCACCATTTTCTATCAGACCAGTAACCTTTATTATGATTTTGCGTTTTTCTCCCACTCTATCGAGGATCTCCTATTGTGACCCTTTTCCAAGTAGTTGACTGTGGTAGCTGGGTATCATCTAGTTCTTCTGGTCTCAGCATTGTGGAGGCTTGAATTCATGTGGTCCATTAGTCCTTTAGTATTAATTGTTTCCACGTGTCCTTGATTTTCTTCACTCTTCTTTGCTCCAGATGGAGAGAGACCAATAGTTGCTTCTTAGATGGCCACTTGCAAACTTTTCAGATGCCAGTTGCTTCTCACTAAAGTAAGATGCAGAACATTGTGGATTAGGTTATGGCAATTGACCTTGATGTCTCCCAAAGCTATGGTCCTGAGTCCCCAGGCCCAGTGACTCATTCCTTCAAGGTGCTTTGTTATGGCTAAGAAGTTTCCATAACTTTCCTCCTTTGTTCGCTACTACATTCATGGATATATCTGCAGCACATATAAATACATGCATAGAAATATCCTCTGTGAAACATATATATTTGGGCTCACAAGAATCTTTTTTTTTATTTATTTTATTGTGATTTGGGTGAAAGTTTCTGTAAACTGCAAATTTCTCTTTCATGTAGCAGTTCACATACACCTTGTCTCATGACATTGACTGTAATCTCCCACAATGCAATAGCTCTCCTCACACTTCTTCCTTATAGCCACTTCTTCCCTGTGTCTTTCCCTCCCATGCACTCCTGCTCCCCCAGCTGTCTCCCTGTGTACATATAGTCCTTCTATTCTCCTATGATTGATCTCTTCAAGGAGTGTATATACCTACTGTAAATGTTCAGCTTATGTTTGTCTTTTGTTTGGCAGGAATCCACAGGAGTGGATTCAGTTCCAGACCTGAAGGGCAGCTAGGGCCATCATCTCAGGGGTTCCACTAGGCTCTATCATACCAGTAAACCTGGTCCCTTCTTCTTCTTCTTTTTTATGATTTTGCATTTTGTCCCAGATTGTTCTCATATTCTATCCAGGATCTCCTACATAGAACCCCCTCCAAGTGGTTGACAGTTGTAGCCAGGCATCATCTAGTTCTTCTGGTCTCATAGTTATATAGGCTGAGGATCATATGGTGTACCAGTCCTTTGGACTAATTATGTCCATGTGTCTTTGGTTTTCTTCATTCTTCTTTGTTCTGGATAAGGAGAGACCCAATGTTGCATCTAGATGGCTGTTTACAAGCTTTTAAGACCCCAGTCACTACTAACCAAAGTAGGATATGGAACAATGTTTTTGTGTAGTATGTTATGCCAATTGAGCTTGATGTCTTCTGCGATCACGGTCCTGAGTTCACTGGTCCAACTACTCACTCCCTCTGCGTAGCTGGCTGTGGCCAAGAAGTTGGGTTCACAAGAATCTTCCATCTTCTGGGCCATGGAAACTTAAAGAACCCAGGAAACAATATGAGAAAGTCCTCCAAATATAGAAACCACAAAACAAAACACCCAGAAGACCTCAAGTAAATTGGGAGAGACAGAGTAGTTGTTAGGAAGGACCTTACTCCCGTGGAATCTGATTCTGTCCTACAAACTCAGCCTCTCCCTGCTTCAATTTCTCATTTGCAAGACAAGTTCTTGAACACTAGAGACTGGATGTGAAGATGCACATACAATCCACTGTAGTGGTGAAGGCCTGGGAGTCAGCCTAGACAGGAGTTTAAACTCCTGCTCCCTCACTTACTTGCCTAAGTGTGACCTTCAGCAAGCCATGTAATCTCTCTAGATTCTGTTTCCTCACCTGGAAATTGGGGGTTATGATACTTATTTCAGAAGATAGGTGTAAGAACTGAAAATAGATGATGTGCTTAAAATGTCGTGGCAGTTAGCAGAACATAATGCAGCAAGCCACAGTGGGTTGGATGGTGTGTTCAGCTGTCCTGCCTCTCTGTCCCTGGGTCTGACTGAGCTTGGAGCTGTAGGATGGAGCCTATGGTTCTATGGCCTGTTCCTGTAAGAGCCTCACAAACTCATGTGGCTTCCTAGTGCTGGTCTCATAGGGTTCTGAGGTGTCAGTGGAGTGGGCCTCAGGGAAAAGTGTGCACTCTGGATATGTTGAAGGGGAATGAGAAGAGATAAGTTTATGACTTCTAACTCTGAGGCTGATGCATGCCCTGGAGAAGACCCGATTGCAGTGGGCCTGGCCTGGCAGACCAGAGGAGGTGTATGTAGGGATTACAAAGCCCAGGAGCTGTGTTATCTTCAGACCAGTTGCACTCACATTCACACTGTCCATTCCCCTCATGTACACCTTTGACCAAGGTGAAGAACAAGCAAAACACTAGAGGTGTCTGATGGCTTACTCTGGGGAACATTTGGACTTGATGCTGTTGTTCCATGCTGGAGGGACTCTTGGGGAGAGGGTGCAATGAGCTGAAGGTTTAGGAAGGTCCAGGAGAGGCTCTGGCAGGTGGACTTGTAGTCAGAGACCTCACACAAGCACTCAGCTTTTTTCCTGCCCATAGTGCAGGAAATCACCATCTGTCTATCAATTTGTTGTACTCTGGTGACTTGTGTGTTGCTGCGATGCTGGTATTTCAAATGCCAGCACGGTCACCCATGGTGGACAGATTTCAGCAGAGCTTCTAGACTAAGATAGAATAGGAAGAAAGGCCTGATAATTTATTTCTGAAAATTAGTCAGTGCAAAGCTATGCATCACAACAAAACACTGTTTAATATGCTTCCTTTGGCCATGCCATCAGGAGGGACCAATCACTAGAGTAGGATATCATGTTTGGTGAAGTAGAGGACCACTGAGGGCAAGGGAGACCCTCAGTTAGATGGATTTCCACAATAGCTGTAGTGACAGACTTGAACAAGCAATTGTGAGAATGACACAAGACTGGGAAACATTTTGTTCTGTTGTACATATGGTTGCTATGAGTTGGAGCTGATTCAGTGGCACCTAACAATAAAGCAGGGGAAGGGTGAATCCAGAGGTCCTAGCATGGCAGGCCCTGGACAGAACTTGTTATCTTCATCCTTTTAAGACACTGTCAGGGAGGATGAGAAGGGTGTAGTTTCAAAAATGCTCTTGGGGAGGGGAAGCAGGAAGTGCACTGGGCATTGAGCCAGCTCAGTAAAAGAATCCCATTGGGCAGAGAAAAGATGAACAGGATTGGGCCTCCCCTGAGCTGTGACACCACCTCAGCAGGGACCAGGCTGGGAGGAACCAGAGGACAAGGCAATACCCTCAACAGGCTCCAGTCCCTGGAGTCAGTAGAGAAACACTTCACTCCAGAGGCCAAGCAAAGGGACAGTGTGGGTGTGGACTGAATATGCTCAACAAGGATTTCCCTGATAGTTCTCTGAAAACAAAAAAGAATTTTTTTTTTTTTTAATTATAACAGTAATGCATACTTAACATAATCAACTACTAGCCAAAAAGTTGGAGAGTTGATACACCTAGAGGTTCCTCAGAAGGCCTGGCCATCTACTTCTGAAAAATCAGCCACTGAAAACCCTATGGAGCACGGTTGTACTCTGGCACAAATGGGGTCACCATGACTCAATTGACTCAATAGTACAATTTTACATAGTGTCATGAATTTGGAAAATACAGGATATTATAAAGAAGAGAGGAGCTCTGGTGGCATAGTGCCTAAGGCATTAGACTGCTAACCAGAAGGCTGGCAGTTCAAACCCACCAGCCACTCCTCAGAAGAAAGGTTGAACAAGCTACTTCTGTAGTGATACCACCTCAGAAACCCAAGGAGGGGTCGCTATGATTCAGATCCAACTCCATAGCAGTGTGTTTTGTTGTACAAAGAAGAGAATAAAAATAACTTACAATACCATCATTCAGCAATACCTACAGGTAAGTTTTTTGAGCTAACTATCAAACAAACACTTCTACAATCCCCTATCAGCCAGGAATATTTTGTGTTTCAGAAAGTTTCAGAGTTTGGAAATGTAATATGACATTACATTGTCAGCCACAGGGATCCAGGTGAGGAGAGAGAACCCAGGTATGCCAAAGCAGCAGGATGAGAGAGTGGGAGAAAGGGGATTAAAATCCAGTCAGCTGCAGGGATCCAGGTGAGGAGAGAGAACCCAGTCATGCCCAATGCAGCAGGACAGGAGAGCGGGAGAAAGGGGATTAAAAGCTAAAACCTGGACAGTG